CTTTAATTAGAATCTTATTTATCAATGCAAGTGAAATATATCATAAGCGGGTATATCATACCATAGACCTAAACAACAACAACAACAACAAAAAACCAAGCAAACAAACAAAAAGCAAGGTCATTCAGATGGCACGTTCAATACACCAAGAGCAAAAAAATATAATATCAGTATATAATCGTAAAATTAGACAGTGGCAATTTTTATTTCTTGCATATTTATAGGGAAACGTTTAAATAAAGTTTTATTTGTCATGTTTAGGTTTAACACATATATAACATTATTTCTTCTTCAAATATCTTTTTTTTAAATATGAAAGGTGTGCTTTGAATGCTCAGAACTTGATGTAATAATATTGCTTACTTTTTTTTACTAAGTTTGTTTATTTAATTCATGACGAAACTGGTTTATACCTACCCGTTGAATATTTTTTGTTTACAAACATTGTTGTTTCAAAATATTATCATTTTTGAAATGGTGCATTCTACTTATTCTGGCAAAGAAAAGATAAAAAAGATAATTATATTTTAGATATTCTCATATTCTGATTTAACTTTGTTATTGTGCAAATATCGTACTATTTAATTGTTACCTCTATTTAATGGACCCATAAGTCACAAATGAGTTCAGAACCTGTTTTCCAAGATAACCAAAATTGTTTTATTTATCTCAGGGATCATTTACATTAATAAAAATCGCTTTTATAATAGAAATGCGCGTGTTGGACACCTACTATAAAATGCAGCAGTTATGACGTAATCAAATATTGACACACGACGTCGCCAGCATTCACGCTGAGATATATTGATATTGACATACGCTTATTATACTTTCAGGAACCTTGGCAGTTAGTACGTGCAAATTATTGCAGTGTGCAAGATGAGAGAGGCGGGCCAAAAGATAAGAGTTGTCGAGTGGAGATTCATGGAGACAATGGGAGGTGTTTGTGCATCTAGTCTCTAAATAGTGCAGTTGCTCAACATTGGCGATGCTTATAACAAAGACACTGGTGTGTTTCTAGCACCCGTTAGTGGATTATATCTGTTTACAGCACAGGTGTGTTTAACTAACAACAATTGGGTTTATGTTGGAATTGTCGTGAATGATAGACCTATCTCTAAAACAGCGTTTGGAGATAAGAATTGGTTGAAATGTTATACCATTGATGCAATTACAGCGATCGATAAAGGAAATGAAGTTTCTGTAAAATGTACAGCTAACTGTGAAAGCAATGAAAAGTTACACGAAGACACAAACGCAAGAAACAGCTTCTCTGGCGTTCTTATCCATTAAACAGTTTAAATAACTACCGTTTTGGTGTCAGTTATACAAATGTATTTACATTTAATGTCAGTTATATTTCCCTTTGGTATTAGTTATATTTACTTTTAGTGTCAGTTATATTTACTGTTAGTGTCATTTATTTACTAGTAACTTTCAATCTTAGCAAACTTTTTTTTTGTTTGTATAAAATTTTAACCTACATGTAGATGACCAAAAGTAAAATAAAAAAGGGCGTAAAACGATATTACACAATATTGGGAACTTAACAAATATACCAATTTTATGTCATAATTAATTAACAGTAGTATTGTTTGCAGATAATGAAGATTAACGCAGGGCAACACTTCTAGAATGATGGACGTTAAGCAGTCCCATTTTAATCATCGTTTTAGCAATCAGCCGTCTTTGAAAATTATTTTACATATGAAATAAAATCATCTGTTTATCGAGCTGTCTTCACTGCTGAATCAAAAGATATTTAGATATTTAGAGTTTTTTTAATTAACATTCTGTTTTTTCAATTCAAGAAACTTAAAATCTCAGTCAAGCGAACTTAGTTGGATCCTTAACCACATAGAAATACAGGGAAATGTGAAGTAGATTCATTAAATAATTAATTACTTACTGTTACAAAATAGTGGTTCTAACCTTCTATTGATAAACTTGTATCATCTAAATGTAATACAAATTGGGAAAAAGCCGTATTTAACAAATTCAAACCCTGATCACTTGTATAAAGGAGAAACTGAAGCAGAAAGTATCCAAAATCCCTGCCTTGGTGCAAAACAACCCAAACCGAAAGCGAGCAGCGAGAAGCAAGTGATGAACAACATTAAGCATTTGTTTCGGAAAATTTACTAAATGTAATAAATTTGCAGTAACTTTAGTCTTGTTCAAAAAATATCCGGAACGGTATTTAGAAGACCTAGCATTATTTTTTTACAAAACTCTGTCGATTGTGGAATAAATATATTTGACACATGTATATAGTTATATTGTTAGTCGCCGAAGATATGGTAATAATTGGTAATTTACAAGAGGATTTAAAGCAAAGATTAAACTCTTTATAAAGTACTGTAATGTATTGGGATTAGAGGTAAATACAGCCAACACTAAAATAGTTGTTTTTCGGAAAAGAGAGCCATTACTTCCTCATGAACGTTTGTTATATAACTATGAAGCTTTGGACATTGTGCGTGTAACTTTTCGATTTTATTCATTTAGGTATAGTATTTAATTACACTAGGTCCTTTAAACTCCACAACCAATATCTTATAGGTAAAGCTCTGAAAGCTATGAATGTAGCAATAAATTTGAAATATCTCCTTCTGTTTCCTCGCAATTATTTGATGCTTTTGCCGGTGCTATTATAAATTATACGTGTCAAGTCTGGGGATTTCCTAAATTTAAAGATATAGAGAGATTACATTTGAAAGTTTACAAGGTAATTCTTGGTGTGAAAATAAACTGTTGTAATGCAGGAATTTATTGTGAACTATGTAGATATCCACTTTATGTTAATAATTATGTTCACATTATTAAATATTGGTTTAAAGTGATACATTCAAATAATACCATTATTTGTTTGTTTTTGGGTTTTACGTCAAATCGAAACAGTATTGGTCATATCGCGACGTTCCAGCTTTACTGGTGGAGGAAGACCTTAGGTGCCCTTCCGTGCATTTTTTCAGGCACGAACGGGCACCTGAGTAGAACCACCGACGTTCCGTAAGCTAGCTTGATAGCTTCCTCACATGAAAGAATCCAAAGTCCCTGTCGGGAATCAAACCCACAGCAGTGAGGGGCAAGTGTTGTGAATTCAACGACCTTAACCACTCGGCCACGGACGCCCAAATATCATTATCAAATGTGTGTATATAAAAACATTAAATCACTGCAAACAATGTTTAAAAAAGTGGGCGTATAAAATAAAATGTTGAATTGTCCTGAACGTTATAATTAAAAAACAAAATGTTAATATTTTTAAACAAAGAAGACTTATTGATGTATTTACAAAAAAATGACTTTCAGATATTGTTTATAATAACGTTTTAAATACATAGTATAGACAGATCAAGATTAATTTTTCTTTGGAATGTTATTAAGATAAAATCAAGTGTATGAAATCAAGAAAACAATTAACCCGTCTCGGAATATCTGCACACAATTAAAGAATAGGATCTGGTAGTATGGTAGAAACAGACTTGAACGACATGAGCGCATATGCCAACTTTGTAATACGCAAGATATTGAAGACGAATTTCATTTAATGCTTGTTGGTAATCTGTACCAGGAAAGACGCACTAAATTCATTAAACGATATTATTATATAAAGCCTAGTACGTTTAAATTTATTGAATTATGTCAGTCATGTTAAAAGTCTGTATTGTTGAATTGATGTAAATTTATGTATTTTGCAAATGTAAAAGAAAAGGTATGTTGATAAACTTCGGTTATACATATTAAATGAAATGTTTAAATGTTTTTCTTTTTCATAGATATTGTGTACATTTAGAATACGATGGTAATGTCAGAATTAAAATGAGATTATTCTGATACATATTAATTCTATACATATTTTTTTCTGCAGCAATGTATGTTCATTCTCCAATATACTGTAAATCTTTGAATTATATCACATGTTTATCTAACTATGATATTTGACATGTGTAATGTAACAAAATACTGTATTGTATACGTTACAAAATAAAATTTCGGTTCTGTGCTGGTACATTGTATATGTGTGTGTTTTTTAAAAACTAACAACAACAAAGACAACAATAAAAAGACAAGAACAATATAGAGAGGAAAAACAGCAACAATACCACCGACAAAAACACACACACAGACACGGACACACACACAGTCACGCACGCACACACACACATATTGTGTGAGTGTGCTGGAAAACCAAACTAACACCAAGATATGATATAGGTGAACACGAAAGCAAAGGTAGGTAAATATTAATGCTTCATATGTAACCGTGTGTCGCAGTTATCTCTCATGATTGATATAGACTACAAGTTTCATGAAACATTCAATAGTTTGAAGAGGCATTCGATGATGATTAAACATGTAACACATTAAACAGGTATTTCGTTACAATGAATTACGATATGAAGAAGGAAATAAAATAGTTTGCGTTACATTGAATGTGAACGGCAGCACTAAATGAAGCTCTGAACATCCAACCCGCTCTCCTCCAACCCCCGCCCCAATAAATAAATAAATAAATAAATAAATAGATAAAAACGGGAAGAAGGGAAAATCAAAACAACTTGAATCGCTAATTGGTAATTTTTTAAAAACTCAAATCGAAAGGTATTCATATTATAAAATCTTTGATAAACAATGTTTTACAATTATTAATCCCTACAGATATATACATCTGGAAATAAGTTAAGAATACACAGGAAATTTACAATCGCTTGTGATTAAAAGCCCTGTCATAAGATGAAGACTTAATTGAGCTAAGACATAGTAATTTAATAAGAAGCGGTACCAATTTAGTAATCGTAAACTAGTAAATGTATGGGTTTACTTTATTTTTAACCAAATTATTGAGGCATAAGCAAATGTGTTGTTTTTACCAAACACAAAAAATGTTTATAAATATAGTGTTGGAGTGTTTACAGAACAGTATTGGTGGATATTTTTGAAAAATGTTTACGGTTATGTAAGCTAAAAATAATTATGTAGCCAAAATTTTCATAACAACAATAATATGTGTAAATGCCACGTGCACGGATGATAGCCTCAACCCTCTTCTCATACTACAAATCAGGCGTCTTTTGCGATGTTGATATACATTGTTATGATTCTTGGTGCAGAGCTTGTTCCAGTTGCTGCAGGTTGACAACAAAGTGTTCGTACCCATTGCCCGAATAAATCTTAAATTTCAGTTGTGGTCTTGTCAAAATTAAGGCAAAGTGCCGGGTGTGCTTAACTTATTTTCAGGTGTATATATTATGCTTTGAAAATGCAACTGTTTCAGTTATGAATTTCTTTGCAAACGTCACCATTGACTGAGAACGGCTGAGCAGGATGACATCTATTGGCAACGCCAGCACAAGTTGAACTCTCAGAGTAGATTGTGATAGCAATGTCCTTGCTGGATGGGAATTTACATATACCATTCCAGTTTCGGATAAACACAACTTTCACGGGTTCCTCATGACCATCGTACCCAATTTCACATTTTTTGATAAAATCTCCGTAGTTTGTGTGGCAGCTGTCAAACATATAATATCATAGAGAACAAAAACAATCTTAATGTACATAATTCATGTTATATAATTCATTTTAATTCACGAAAAAAAATCTCGAAAAAAACACATATAAAAACCACATATTTTACTAATGCTGTAAAACAAGCATTATGACCTTGATAATTAAGATTCATATACACTTAAATTCTCTGCAAGAAGAAAATTCCGAAATATTCCTGAGAAAATAATTTAAGTATGTATACTTGAGAAGCACGTAATATATCATACAATAAATTCTTTTACTATTATTCCTATCTACAGCTTGGTGGAATACATGCCTTGATTAATTTATGTCAGTTATATATTTATAAAATTGTTTTCAAGCGTACATAGTGTCTTTTAACAGGTGTTATTTACTAGTTGTCTGTTTGCTACTTCAAACTTTGTATCAATATCTTGAAAATTTTCTTTTACTAAAGTACATTAAAAACATACACAATTACATGGAAATTGCAGTCTCAGTTTGATTGAGTCGGTACATGAGAGATAATGAAAAAGTGTAACAACCATAAAGCCATCTAGCACCGGAACGACCAACGGAAAAAAATGCTTGACTCAATGATCCCGAAGAACAAGAAATATATATTATCAATGAAGGTAAGAATGGGGCAACATTTTACGGCTGTCATACAGCACATGACACCTGTTGTGATAAATAAATATCCAAAAACAGTGATCCCTCGAAAGCATTTAAACATCAAATTAGCACCAAAATTTCAGACTCAGTTTGATAGAGTTTGTACATGTGGTGTAATGAAAACAGACTTACAGTCTGCTTTTGGAGAATTCTTTTTTTAAACTATTAAGAAAAAGCTTTTGAATATTTTACAGATGGACATACCTTTTAGTTGGTTTCGGAGGTGTAGGTTTATGCACTACACAGGCATGTTTTGATGTAATTGCAAATGTCTGAAATTAATTGCAAAATGTATACCGTATACATAAAAATCTGAAACAAGTACACACAAATTTCCGTAAACACAATCATAATGCATGATTATTTATGAAATATTTTTATTTTACATTTTATTTACATGTTTTACGTCTTTATTTATTTCAACATTTTCAATATTGTTCACCAACATGATGAAAATGAGTTATATGGATTCAATTGAAATATATTTGAAATACTTTCATACACAAAAAGTCGTTAAATGCATACAAAAGACATACATAAGTGCGTAGTGATGTTTCGCCAAAAGCCTCTAACTTTGGTGTTTCTGCTGTTGCGTCACATATGAAGGAGACATATGAAGTTCTGCTGAAGAATATTGTTACTAATTATTGCAATTTCTTATGAACAAGTTTAATCAAATTGACAAGCTTTGACATAAATATGTTTATTATTGATAAATTACTACATGTACTAAATTCTTTTTCACCTACAACGGTGAACTCGGTATTTTGGTCTCTTTAGAGGCAAGGAGGTTCAAATGTTTAGGATATTTCAAAGACACGTAAAGATAGTGCACACCAGCAACCCGAGAACTAAAAAACACCGTTAGAGGGAATGGATGAGTAATTATACCAAACCAACATTTTAATGTCATTTTTCACTATAATTACTCCATTCACCGTCGCCTTTTTATCAGGGGAGAAAACAAGAACATAACATTTTCTTAAGTCCATATGGATTACTCGTCACTGGGAAATATTGCAAAGAATAATTGACCGTATTATATTCATTTCCAGAATAATAGATCGAAATAACACCATGTGACGGTTATATAGTAAACAGTTTACGTGAGGCATAATAAAACATATATGTTACTCCAAGCTCTTCTGTATGGCATATCGTTAAGAATAAGAAGATACCTACCTTGTGACGTCATTTTAGGCTTTGTAGTTAAAAGTTTACATGAGATATAATTAAAAGAGGATATTGAAATTAAAAAATCTGGAAACAAAGTGATCCCTCGGAAGGGATAATGAATACGTGCAGCAGCCCTCACGCCCCCTAGCACCGGCTTGAGCGGTTTTCAATTTTCAACACTCAATAGTGCTGGCATCAATGATCCCGAAGGACCAGAAACATATAACAGCACTGAAGTGAAGTACGGGGCAACTTTTTACAGCTGCCACACAGCACTTAACACCTGCTGTTGTGAAGTATGAAAATCTGGAAACAAAGTGATCCCTCGGAAGCACTTATCACAACAAAATTACAAGAGAATTGCAGACTCGGTTTGATTGAGTCTGTACATGAGGAATAATGAATACGTGTGTAGGCTCAATACAGAATTTATTAACGAGTTAAAAAAAACAATGCTATACGCGCCTCTTGCGAGCAAAATGTTATTTAATTCAAAAATTTCAATTAATTCAGAAATGAACTTGCATGAATATGATATTTTTTATCACATATCCAAAATAAAGACTGTTTGAAGTGAATAAGAATTATTTTTCATTGATGCGCCTACAGTGTAAAGCTAGCACGTTTAGCACGTAGTTTAGCACGTCCATACACTTTATTGGTATTACGCAAATAAAGTCACGTAAACATATAAGCACGGCCGTTTTTATTATGAAGGAGTCGCAAAATCTGCACGGGTATGTGACATGTGTGATAAAAACATATACCTTGCTGCTAGCTCATCAGTGCTGGTATATCTACCCGCTAAATAACCAGACGAAACCATGTGACGTCACATAATGCTATATAGCAAAACGTATACGTGAGAAACAATAAAACCTATACCTAACTCCAAGCTCATCAGTACTGGTATATCTACCCACTAAATAACCAGACGAAATGTTAAACGTCAGAAGTCCGCTGCTGGCATCTCCAATCGCGTAAAACAAATCAAAATCGCTGGTTTGACAACCCTGAAAAAAGTATTCAAAAGTTACAGTAAATGTCTATAGTTCGTAGATGAGGTTAATATTTAAAGGTTTGCGATAGCCGTTTTTATACATATTTATATACCCAATAATATATAATGATACAAACAAAGAAGCATCTTTACTTCCTACAAAATATTAAATTAAAATCATTATACACAGAACTTCAAACTGAATTTGTGACAGAATACATTTAAACTGTCTCTTCAACCAAATGTAATCATAAGATGGAATGGACCAAATAGTTGAAAGTAAGTAAATTTCAAGACAATAGTTGTTATCAAAGTAAGTAAATTTCAAGAACCTTTTTTAAACGAAAATACATACAGCTACATTAAGACAAGTTCCTTCATTAAACGGAAAGCACGGGTTGAATGAGTACATGTAGTCTCCGTCTCCTTTTAAATCTTTCATTCTGGTAAAAGGTATAAAAATAGCAAGAGCTCGCTTATTTATTAGCGAATCAAAGCTTAGCAATGTTATTATTTCAACAGAAGGCAACATTAAATATTTGTACGAGTATAATAAATTATGTACATCATGTATTTTAAGATCGTTATATTTCTTAAACGTTATGTAATTAGCTTATGACGGAATAATTGAACGAATAAATAAATAAATAAATAAATAAATAAATCATTATACTTAAAACAAAACACAGAAAAAACAACGTTTTGAAACATATTAGCTTAATTGTGACTTTAAATATTATCTCTTTCATTTGTATTACTCTCTATTTTATCAAGTCGATAAATTGCAACTTACAAAGGTACTCCTGTATTACTTCCAAGTTCAGACAGGTCAATTCTGCTTCCATTCCATTTTCAAAAACACATGCGCACACACCTTCTTGCTCACACCCCACACTTTGAACGTATATACATTGAGACGTAAGTGTTAAGAAAACAATAATAAACTTCGCTATAACTTGCCAGGTACAAATTGGTCCGTGATTTCTCATAATCCTTATTAATCTAAGCAATCCTTAATATTTATGCAAAAAATACAATATTATCAAATACATAGTTATATTACGAATAAAGTAGTTCTAATAGGTTGTTATTTTTTTGTCTTATCTAATTACTGCACTTAGCATTTCAAATTATACTACAAGTGATAAAAATATTCGAGTTGCTATAAAACTGTGATACGTTACGTCTATAGTGAGTTTTACAGACATAACACATATTTAGGCATGATAAACATCTAAGGTGTCAGGGGTAAAATCACAGTAATACTGATAATAATGATAATACTTCAAATGTATCAATTAAACCAACGAGTAAGGAAATATAAAAACAATTGATTCAGTACAAGATGTTATAAATTAATGTTATTTTTTATTTATTCACCTGTATATGGAATGTTACACTGCATTGCATAAAAAGAGATAGACAAATAAGTTTTACAACATTTGGTTTCAATTTCAATTTATTTACAATAATACTCAGTTTTTGTGATGCGATGCTTAGGTACATAAATTGTCATAAACACATAATAATAATAATAATAATAATAATAATAATAATAATAATAATAATAATAATAATAATAATAATAATGATAATGATAATAATAATAAAACAACAACATAGAGGACAACAATATTGCATTTGACTTCCATTCAAAATTATTCTCAATTCAATGTTCTATTTCATTTGTTTAAACAATCGGTTTTAATTAAAGCACTGCAGACTGCATACAACGCTGGTGTCCATGAAAATGCGTAAACATCGAATCAGCAACATGTCAGGCGTTTTTCGATAATTCAATGTTTTTTTTCCTTAATTTTAATTAAAAATAGCATGAATCTAAGTTTCGTATAATATTTTCTTTTTATATTTTAATGTAAATTATAATGTATTATGTAAAAGTAAATATTTCATACGAAGATAGATAGATAACAAGGGGGTTTGATGTTCTTCAATACGTAAGGATTTTCAAGTTTAGATGTTTAAACGTCATTTTAATAATTTAGGTCATACTTTTTCATGACAATCATGAGCTTTCGTGCTTAAAAATAATAAATGGCACAAAATGAGACACCTTGTCAGGACGTCTGTCCTGATTACATATACATTCATCAAGGCCAACTTGTAATTAAATATTACATTTCGTCATCAATTATTCCAAAATAATTTTTTACTGTCGGATCAAGAAACTCTGAATGATTTTGGTTTCGTGATACATTCATTTGGGAATAATTATATCTCGGGAACACTGAAAAAACTGTGCTGACAAATCATCGTTTGTTCAATAGATAAATTCAGAATGTCATAAAGATTTCGAACACAGACCATCAGACCATGTATGGAATAAATGGCAATGTATCCAGTTATTGTGAATATAGTTTTGCATTTATTTACCTTGCGTTATTAAAACTTATTTACATAATGGTTAATTAAATTTATATATCATACATTTATGTCCTCTTTGCATATGATTATCTATAGTAAAATCTTTCCAACATTACAGCAGCATGCCTCCAGATTCATACTAATTTTTAGGAAATTTTGTAAATGTATTTTAATGTGTAATATTGTCAATTAACCAAATGGAGGAATAAATACATTATCAATGACACTTTAAAACCATGTAAACTACCAAAAAAAGTGGTCAAAATATGCATAAATAGTCTTAACTGCGTTAGTAACGCAGTAGAAATATAGTTGTAAATATTGAAAATCAGTAATTAATCGCACATAATATGTAAAATATTACTCGAATTTTTAAACCTTTTTATCTAGTACATTTTTCTCATTTGTTTAAAATATTTTGACTCATCTGGAGGCATGTAGCTTTAAGTTCATAATGGCCACCCAAAAATATGTTCATTCTATTAATGGAGCAATATTCCACAGAAACGACTGATTTCTTTCTTTATAAAGGGATAACATGCTATAGAAAGATCATCAATACACGAGGCTATATGACTTGTAGTAGGGCGCAACATATATCTTCATTCCAGTTAACTCACTGTGCATTTATAGGTGCACCATTTTAGTCTCACATATTTTCAAAAGATAGATCTCCAAACTATGATAAAAATATTTTATAACGTTCAAACAATAGTTTTAAAAAACGTAATATTCATTAAATACACAAAATAAACATCAACATCAACAACAACAACTACAACAATATAATACTAAAGTCTGTCGCATTAAAAATGGAAATGAATTTTTGCCTTGTTTGAATTAACAAAACGAGGTTGAATAAATATCAAACTATTTTTGTAAACTAAAAAATGTCACCCTCGAGATTTTTCAGGAGTTTTCTCTAAAGTGTCTACTTTTCTTGTGAAAGCAAATTTTGATTTCTCTATGGTAAATCTCTGTTGTTTATTTTTGTAGCCATTGCCACAGTACTCTTCATTTGAAGATGTTTCTAAAATATACATGAGGTTGTCGGGATCGTTTCATGATTATTTTACAAAGCAGGATCTACAAGATGTAACACTTTAGTTGCAATGCATAATGGAAAACCTTTAAAAAATGAAAAATAAGCAACAAGAACACCGAGTCACATGGAGTAGATCTAGAAATTGCACCTACTTTTAAGCTGAATAGAATCCCTGTAAATTTCGAAATAAACGTCACGACAAATTCGCATTCTGAAGATTCCTTCATTGCCAGTTGGCAAATTCTATCCAGTTCCGTAGATCCCATTTTTTTATACTTCAAAACCTCCTGAATGACATGACTTCTACACTTATGTTGATCCGGATTTTTTAAACTGTTAATCCGTCTCATTATTAAAACATTGTTTAATTTGTGGAGTTATCTGGGTTAGCAAATGAAATATGTAAATGAAACACATCATAATTTAGTATGTTAAAAATCAATAATTCAAGAACGGCCCATCAATTTTAGTTGTCAACATCACAATGTTTATAACTCTTGAAAATGGATTCCTGACGAAAATTTTTTTATTACGTTAACAACAATTTACGAAATATATGACGTAACTAAATGCCTTGCGCATTTTATTGACGATTTCAGTTGCGGCATTGACAAAGGGCGGTTAGGCATATGTAGCCTCATACAGACAATTTTAAGCATTGAGATAAATTTGTCTTGATGGCAGTTAAAAAAATTTTTGTTTACCCAGATTTTGCAGCTTAACTGTTAAAGTTACACCTTCAATTCATACATTAATGATAAAACTTTTGATAACATTTAAATATTTTTAAACACACTAAATGACATGAATCTATAACAGTAAATCTACAAAACTTCTTCCATTAATTACATATAACCTTCGTTTTGATTTAATGTTTTTTTCATATTTCATATATTTCTCAACAAAAAAAAAAAAAAAAAAAAAAACAACAACAACAAAAACCAAAAAAAAAAAAAAAAAAAAAAAAAAAAAAAAAAAACAACACTTATTGTCTCTTTTTTCAGATCGAGTTAAGCTTTAAAGAATCAATATTATAATGCTAATAAACCTCAAAATCAAAATAATGATAAGAAATTGTCAAATATATATTAATAATTTTTCAGAAAAATAAAACTCAGTGAAAACTAAACATTTATTTCGTTTTTTAAATCTAGATCAATATGCGAAATTAAGATCTTGTCTGCAACTTACATTTTGCAGCCAAATGGAAGGGAGTTAACTGTATGGAATTTACCTTGTAGGTAGCTATAAGTCAGTATGTTATTCGTTAATTCATCTTATATTCATTTCCATTTGTGTAGAATAGTTTGGGCCCTATGAATCAGTTCTTTGCCTGCACCTATCGTTACAAACCGAACTCAACTTCTGTTTATTTGACCGTAAAAATGATTACATGTATTAACAAAATATATCACTACAGAAAGATGTTTCTACTGTATCATTTTATTTCGTATAGAAATAAGTTGCATACTTCTGCAAACAATGACATATATATATGTTCTTCATTATACGTAATCTCATCTATACATCTTTAAAATATAGACAAATATACAACGAAAACAATGTATAGCCATATAAGACACGCCATGTACGTCCCAATCTTTTTTTTTACCAACTTTAGATAACGAGTTAGTGAGCATCCTTTTATGTGCGTGAGGCATTTAACTTCCTGATGAAATATTTCAAATATTTAGAATGGAAACTGAAAGAATAGAGTTGAGAATAAAAACTGTTAAAGACAATATTTATTGTCTTCAACATTGACATAATACGCATTTAAAAATATTTTAAGGGACCTAAATGATCTTGCGATACTACATCTTAGCTGATAAATACGATAACATTTCGTAACACTTAAACATTAAAGCTGTTGTTTTTGTATCAAAGTCATACAGATCATTTTAAAGCAAATTTTTCCTTGATTGTATCTCACGTTAAGTTATGCTGAAACAAAAGAACAATAACAAAGAAACAACTTGTTGAACATTTTTATTACAATAGAGAGACACCTGGCTATGTTTTGTTTTCCTAATAGTAAATACCTTTTAACATTTTAAAACATTGTCAATGTTAGACTTCGTGCAATTTCTCATGGATTCAACACATGTACTTGATGTTATTTGTATTACTAAAGATACAGCCAATAGAAGTACAATTAGCTTAGATGTCCCCTAAATCCCTTATTTTAGCACATCTAGCTATATTTTATGTATATCTCTTGCGAACCTTTGGCCAAAGATCTGCACTCGGCGTACACTCAAAATAAGCCGAGGTACGCCCCTGCAAAAAGTACACTAAGTAACCCTTTTTTTACTAGCAAATTCATTTAACGTTTTGCTAATTACTGCATAACATTATTTTCCGATTCTGATAATGGCAATTCCAATAAATAACATAACTTTTTTCTGTTACCTTACAAGCTCATTGATAAGATTGCCATATTTTTTCATTTAAATGAACTGGGTTGTTACAAAACTGTTCGGAACTTTCCTGCCACAGCAGAAACAGCAATCAGAAATTTTAATGACAAAAGTTACAGAATACTCATCGATGAAATGTATACTATTAATTGCAAAAAGAATTAAATAAAACATCATATTACAACTCAATAATAGTGTACATTTCCGTTCTTCAACAAAGAGTTGTTCAAATTCCAAAAAAAGTTTAATTTCATGTTTGAATAACTGGCTAAATCGTTTCTTTCAAAAACAACAGAAACAATTGGAATGAAAATTAGATTTAGAATTGCTTAAACTTAAACAATATAAACTTCAATGCAGTGTATATCATTTCAGTTGTTGAAAAAATGGTTAAACCAAAGTGCAATCTAGAAAATACTGGCAATGGAGAGTATGCAAATTTCTAGTTTTAAGCAGTAAAACATTATGCCCCCTTTTTTCTTTCCATTGCAAGGTCATATACTAACAACGATATCATAAATATAAACATGTGTTCTTTTTGTGTAAAACCGGTCTCTATCGATTATTTTTCATCATCCATTTTTAAGCGAGTTTGTACATTTAAATGGTAGTCAGACTACAACAGAACATTTTAAAATTTGAAAAAAGAGTGATATTCTTTGTATCTTTTAGTATTTATTAGTACTACAAAATTAAAGTAGTTAAAATCGTAACGGCCGTTCGACCAAATGCTTATTAATAAACATTAACCAATATACTGTTAAAAACTAATTATATAAACTGTCGATTTACTAGACTTATTAAATTCAGTGGATTTACTATTGTAAATGAATTATATCTCATTTGAAATACAGTAATTCTAATGGACAAATAAAATTTCAAAAAATAAATAAGGTTAGAATGGGCACTATCATTTTATGACCTACACAATACCTTTAAATACACCTTATTGTGTGATATTAAAGGTAAGGTCAACATGGAGAGAACAACTTTCCCCATATATAAAAAGTCCTCCACACACCTAACAACACAGGACCGCCTGCAAGGCAGTCAGCAGGGCAACAACCTAAAAAAGTGCCAAGGGCGGGACAAGAAGAGTAAGTACCATGCCAATAATTCGTAAGAGAAAACTAGACCTAATCATATAGGAAACTTTGTGAACTCATCATAAATATATATAAATTTTGTGATTGCGAGAAAGGGTTAATGAACTTGCAAAACTGGTTGTCTTCCTGTCCAAAAATATACAGTAGTATGTTTTGTATGTCAAATGCTTCCCTATGGGACTTCTAAAGTATGTCATCATTTTTTTTGCAATTTTTGCAATACTTAAAGTCTATTTTCTGGCATAGCAACCAATTCTAAATTAAGGCACATAACATAATAATATACAAATAAAATAAATTGCATATTACCATCAGTTCTGTAGAAGAAAATAAATCGTAGGACCAGACCCATTTTTGACAGACCGACCGATGGATGCAAACAAAAAGAAAACAGGGCATTCAACTGAATTCGGATACTAAATCATTAAATATTTGTGATACAACCCCTTTTTAGCATGAAATTTTGTTTGCATTGTAGTAGGAATTCAAGGTTGAGATGACAACAGTTTGGATTTAGAAGAGCACAAAGATGGATCGTTCCATATTTATAGTGATTTTGCTATTAAATTCAAGTATGCCATCGGCTTCAGAGCCAACCTGCTCCAAGTTTCACTACGAAGAGCAGACTCTAGAAAAAATGATCAGACAGGAAATAAAAGTTGAGAAAATGAAAAGTGATATGCAACTTACGGAGCAACGAGTACTCGATGCTTTAGAGAAACTGAAAATGGAAAGAAATGAATTCAATAAAGATCTTATGAAAAAAGAAGGTGATATTGAAGTGCTGAAGACAAAAATGGACGAGGAGCTGAATAGAATGAAAGCAAAAACTAACGAAACAATTGATAACTATTCAAAAGAAGTACAGAAAATAAAGGGTAATAAAACTTTTCAAATTTCTTTTGGTTGTGAAGTTGTTTTGTTTTTGTGATGCATGAAGTATATCCTGGTTTAAGTACAATATATTTTATTTATCAATGCAAGTTAAATATATCATGAGTGGATATATCATACAATGGACCAAAAGGAAAAGCAGGGCCATTCAGGTGGAACAACCAATACACCAACAGCAATCAATTAAAATAACAGTAAACAATCGTATTTATAGACAGTGGCATTTTAATTCTCGCACATTTAAAGGGAAACGCTGAAATATACAATGTAGTTTCATTTGTCATGTTTATGTTTAACACATATTAATTATTTCTTCTTCAAATGCCATTTTTTTAATATGAAAAGGCGATCTTTGAATTTCAGAACTTGATGTAATAATATTGCTTAACTTTGTTTAATATATGATGAAACTGGTTGATACTTACCCGTTAATTATTTTCAAATTGTTTACAAACATTGTTGTTTCTAAATATTATCATTTTTGAATTGGTGCGTTCTACATAGTATGGCAAAAAGATAAAAAAAAGCTTATTATATTTTAGATATTCTCGTATTCTGATTTAACTTTGTTATTGAGCCTAATATCGTACTATTAAATTGTCACTTCTTTTTTTTAATTGACACATAAGTCACAAATAAGTTCAGCACCTGTTTTCCAAGATAACCAAAATTGTTTTATTTATCTCAGGGATCATTTACATTAATAAAAATGTTTAAATAAAAGTTTGATATTATACATATAATGTTCGTAATTTTGACACACGTTGCAATTTTAGTTGAGTTATGTTGAATACGTTATATACTTTCAGAGCTGGCATTTACGCCAATTATCGCATTCAAAGCAGACACGGCCGGTGATAGATCGTTAGAAAACAACATGGTGTTTGTCTTCTCAAATATCATTCTTAACATTGGCGATGCCTATAACAAAAACACTGGTGTGTTTGTAGCACCTGCAAGTGGATTATATCTGTTTACAGCACAGGTGTGTTTACGTGGAAACAGTTGGGTTTTTGTTGGAATCGTCGTTAATGGTAGAAATGTCTCTAAAACAGTTATTGGGGAAAAGAATTGGTTAAAATGTTATACTGTTGATGCAATCACAGCAGTAGAAAAAGGGAAACGAAGTATCGGTAAAATGTACAATTCACTGTGACGTCAGTGAGAAGTTGTACGAAGAAACACACGCAGTAAACAGCTTCTCTGGCGTTCTTATCCATAAAACAGTTTAAATAACTACCCCTTTGTTTCCAGTTATATTAACTGTGTCTGTTATATTTACCTTTGGTGTAAGTTATATTTACTTTTGGTGTCAGTTATAGTTACTGTTGGTGACAGTTAGTTACTAGTAACTCTCATTCTTGGCAAACATTTTGGTGTTCGTACAAAATTTTAACCTACATATAGATGTAAAAACGTAAAAGTAAAAAGGCGTGAAACGATATTACACAATATTTGGAACTTACCATTTATATATATATATTATACAGGGGCGTAGCTAGGCCAAAATTTAAATTACGCACGCTAAGGTGAGGGGTTAAGGGGGGCCGCTATAGGCCCCCTTGCAGGCAGAGCCCTGGGAGGGGTCCATGGGGCGAAGCCCCGCGGAAGCTCAATGATTTTTACCGTTTAGAGATGTTTAAAATTATGCATTTCCATGTCCATTTGAGGTCCATAAAATAAGAAATTTAAGTCAGAAGGAATGTAATTTTATCATAAATAACTTTTTATGTAATGATATGACGTGTGTTAATATGCGACTTGATTAAGACATCGTCTTAAATATAATCGCTAGATCGTATACTGATATTTCAAAGTAATTGATCAACGTTATATAAGGATCTACATTGCATAAACAGACGCAAACAAATGACGTGTACGCTGTTACTAGTCAACAAATAAAAGTGACAAATGGCGATTTATTCGTACGAATGTATATACAACAACGTCAGCTTAGAGATCACCATGCAAAAGTCCTAAGCCAGAGAGGCGGCCAGTGGTCATCGTTGTGCGCAAGAAATTCTTTAGCCTTCTCAAGCTGACAAATGAACGTTTAGCAATGGCACTACTGGAAGGAAATGCAGACACTTGTTTACATTTGGATAAAGCTCTGTCGTTTCGCACCGTGTTATAAATTTACAGAAAATAAGGCGTTTTCTTCATTTTTAGATTTTGTTCTCAATTTAAAAAAATATCGTTACTAACTAAAATCTAAAATTGTTATCAGTTACAACGTAGCGATGATTATTATCTTAAAAAACTTTTGTTTGATCAATTTTCGCGTAGCAGTAGAACTTCTGATATCATCTCTGTTTCTCGTGCTTTGATGAAAGCTGTCATTTACTTATTAGGCACACAACAAGAAAACTTATCTATTTTGAGCTTATATGCTATATATCATAAAAGTGAAAAGTGTGCTTCGCTTTTGTGAAAATATTGCAACATTTTTATTTCTCAGTGTGTTATATAGCATATTCAATCAAACATTTATCATAATTATATACAGTAAATTTTCGTTATTTGTTCGGTTTTTGTTGTTTTGTTATTATTGTTGTTTTAAATTTATTAGAGAGGTGACATATATATTTCCATTACAATAAAACGCATAGAAAATTATTTTTTATTACAGGTTCTATGATATATACATGTATATGATCTCACATGAGTTGTCATTGATGTAAAAATATGATGTAAAACGATAACAGAAAAAGTTACAAACCTTTGACAAGAGAATTTTTAAGTAATGACAACTAATGTAAGTTTTTTTATTACACAACACATCGCATTTAAATTAGTAAAAATAAATAGAGTTAAATGAAAGTTATATAGAATTCAATCAAATTTAAAAATGATCCCACACGAATTTATATTTCAGATATAATTATGTGGGATTATATAATTTGCCAATGAGTAACTGATTAAAGAAATTATATAAGAAAAATAAAAGGACTTTCAGGTTTGAGACATAAAAATAAAAGAATTCTGTGGCATAAAAGGCCTTTAAGGTTGTACTTTAGGAGCGTCACGGAAAAAAGGAAACCACAAGAAAAACGTTTTTACTGTTTTGTAGGTACATATTTTTCTTCTTGGCATTTGGCAATTAATACAGTTAAAGTGATTTAGTATTTTTGTATGGAAGTCAAATACTACTTTGTTTACATTTTGCTACTTTTATGACAAACAATTTCACATTTAGCGCTAGTTAGCATTTAACATGCTCTGAAACCATTATTTAAATGTTTTAAAACTTGATCTCGATCATGTCTACCTTTTGAAAGAAGTAATAATACATGTATATTTCATTTCTGAGGCATAATTGCCCTTTTTCTCGAAAGAAAAAAAAAACGTAGTTACAACAAACGACGTCGTGTGATCAATGATAATTTATAGTGGATATCTGTTAAGTTCAGTGTAAGATCAGGATATATTTCACCGAGTGAGCACCAAAAGGTATATTTCACGAGTGGCGCAGCTGGTATTTCACTGAAGGGGCATAAACTCAAAACAGTGAAATTATCAAATTGATAATTTCACTGTTTAAAACATTGAAATTACCAGTTTTATATCACTGGTATATTTCTATAAACCACAAAAAAGCATGTTATAATATGTTATTTTGTATGGATATGTTTATAATGACGTTGACAATGTTCAACACATATTCATTTAAGGTATTTAAATGCATTTTAATGTGAAAAGATATACAAATGCAAACGTTTATAAACGAACACATAAAAGAACAATGAAAATCTATAAAGTTTATATGTTCCTGAAAAACTTGCTTTTTGCTCATGGGCGCCGCATCTGCGGCATCGTCGACGATAAAACCAAAGAATGGAGCGGCGTTGCAGGTCTCCACAATTGTTTTGTTGATAATCTCGCCACATACAGAAATCAATTCGTTCTGTATGTTGGGCGAAGTGTATTTCGATCGAGCACTACCGTGATCAAGGTTGTCCAGTGAAACCATATTATGCTTCATATAGTTCTTTATGGATTAATATTCTTTACGTTATATTATGATTGGAACTTATTACCTCAATACTTTGAATATATATATATTTATATAAGAATCAATGTATAATAAGAGCCATATAAATTTTGGAACCATAAAAGAAGAATCGTTTCTTAACCGAGGATTTATCTGAGCATGCGCAAAATGGTTTGCGTGCCAGGGTGTGCATGCGTAGTGCGTTTCTCCTGTTACCAATTTATTTTAACTTTATTTGATCGACGTTTTGTGTATATTCTTCAAAATGTCAAAATCAAATTGCAAGTTATTTCTAGTCTTTCAACTTTAAAAAAGCATGAAAATATTAAAATTAAACATGTAATTCTCCCATGAAATGTTCAACAAAGACTTTTTAAAATTCAAAGAAAAATATTGACACGGACGACTCAAAGCACCATTGCAAAGTTTATGCATTCAGCCTTCTTTGAAAACAATTTTATATATGAAATAAAACCATCTGATTATTGAGCTTTCTTTACTGCTGAATTAAAAGATATTGATTTGGCTTCGCTATAAATTTCAGGCCATAATATTAAGAAACAGATTTTTTTTCTAGATTACACTCTGTATATTTCAATTTAAGAAAATTTAAATCTCAGTAAAGCGAATTTAGTTGGATCCTCTATTAGGTG